AAAATAACTTATATTTTAAAAAATATATATTATTTTAGTCCTTAATTTTTGAAAATAACTTATATTTTAGAACAATAAAAAATAAAATAAAGAACTAATATTTTGAAAATAACTTATATTTTAAAAAATATATATTATTTTAGTCCTTAATTTTTGAAAATAACTTATATTTTAGAACAATAAAAAATAAAATAAAGAACTAATATTTTGAAAATAACTTATATTTTAAAAAATATATATTATTTTAGTCCTTAATTTTTGAAAATAACTTATATTTTAGAACAATAAAAAATAAAATAAAGAACTAATATTTTGAGATGGAGAGACTAATAAAATTTAAGATGAAAAAATCATTTTTTAAAAAACTTTTGATAAAAATTTAATAAAAAATTAGAATAACCCATATCAAAAACAAATTTTTATTCAAATTTAAAATCAAATAAAAAATTTAATAAATGATTGGAAATGGTCTGCCAGTATCTATTTTTCTTGTCAGATCAGTCATTTCCAAAATTTTTGTAACTCATTTCTTAATTAAATTCATTAATCAACTTTTATTCTCTTGAAATTCAAAATTCTCTCTCTCTCTCTCTCTCTCTCTCTCTCTAAATGCATATATATACTCGCATACACATACAGGTATTCAGTGGAATTTCGATACGCTATTGGAATTGTTGCAATGAAGGAGAACAATCTTGAAATGGAAAAGCTTCAACTGATTGATATTTTAACATCTCGACCCAGATGGTACACCTCTCGGCCTTGATGATACACCTCGACCTAGAAAATGACATCTCGGCCAATATGTCAGGACGAAGGTAGAGGTCAACCAAAGTGGTTTCAAGGTGGTTCTGGCTTTAAGGTGACCTCGACTAGACTCACCAGAAAGAACAAGACTCGACAAGTAAATTTCACATAAGTACAAACCAAGATAAAAATCTCATTCTAGTTAAGACAAGTCAAGAAAATTCACTACTGCAACTTAGCAAAACAAGATTATACAAATGCTCATGCCCGAGGCTAAGGTGAGGAATGAGGGTCACTACAGAAAGATTAAGTGTTTTTTTAACAATAAAAAGTAAAAGAATATATCAACATACAAGCGTAAATAGTTTTAAACTACAACAATATTTGGAAGGCTCACCAGTGGATGATGTCGAAGATTTTACCATTTTGAATTGGTGGAAACAAAATGAATCTATGTGACCTGTAATTTCACAGATAATCCATAATATATTAACCATTCTTATTTCTACAGTGGCTTCTGAAATAGCTTTTAGTGCAGGTAAATAGCTATTCAGCGATTACCGCAATAGACTTTCACCCAAAATGGTTGAAGTATTGATGATATCCAGAGATCATATGCATGCACTTACGAGAAGACAAAATTATAGTGAAAATGAAAGAATTCAAAGCAATTTAGATGTCATATCCTTTAGCAACACGAGTGAATTGTCTGCCTCCTCCGATGATTGATCAATAATTTTTTTTTCACTATTTCATTTCGTAATGTTCTTATTAGATTATTGAGGTATAATATAATGCAAATGATTGGTAGGCTAATAGGTGCCAACCTAATTGGGATGTACTTGACTTATAGTGATGCAATTGTTTTACTATCATCAATAATCTATATCCATTTTATTTAATGATATTAATTTTTGTAATATTTTATTTTATTTTGAAATAAAAATTATTCATTAAATAAATGTTATCTATTTAATTCAATGATTGTAATATTTCATTTCAAAATAATAAAATTACACAACTTCATATTTTTTTAGTCATAACAAAAAAAAACAAAAGTCATACATATATAGTTAAATTTAAATACTACCACCACATAAAAACATAACTAAACATCTCATTAATCTTAATTAAAATACTCTAATATGTATTTTTTTTAATTTTTTATCTCTCATAAATAATCTATATATAATGTCATTTATCGTTTATTTTTTTGCCAAAAAAAACAGCTCGTGAGACCCAGCCCGCGACCAGGGCTTGAGCCTAGGCCCTAGGCCCTAATTTGAGTAGGTCTAGGTCTAGGTCGCGCTTCTCAGTTCGTGGGCCGGCTCGGCCAGACCTGAAAGATGGTGGGAGCCCACGTGGCCAGGTGGCGGACCGGCCTAACATGAGCCTGGATGGGTTGGGCCTAAATTACACCCCTAATGGCCACCTTTAGTTTTTATTTGTAAAATATTTTTTTGAAAGAGTTATAAAATTTGAAAATTTGTTTGGTTCTATATTTTGAAAATAATTTTAGAGTTTTGGAATTTAAAATGATTTAAATTTTTTTTTCTTCTAGTTGAATAGATGGTTGTGAGATAAAAAATGATTAATTGATGTGTAGGATGTGACAGAATGGGAGATGAGAGAGAAAAATTAATCGATTAATATGTAATAGAGAGAAAAGTGATTTTAAATTTAAAAAAGAAAATTTCAACCAAACAAATTTTAATTTTTTTTCCTCCAAAATTATCTCTCTACAGACAAATCAAGCAAAGCTATTATTTAAAAATTATATATTTAAAATATAATTTAGAGTGAATTACATTAACGGTTCTTATAGTTTGAGACTTTGTATCATTTTGGTCCATTTTCAATTGTGACACATTTAATCCTGAATTTTAAATGTTATTTCAAATAAGGACAATTGAAGATACATTACTTAATTTCAAGGACAAAATTATCAATTTGATAAAATATGAACTAATTTGACAAAAATAAATGTCAAAAAAATATATTTAAATTTTTAAAATTATTTCTACCCACTAAAGATAAAAGGAAAAATCGGTCTAAGGTCCCAATCCAACTTTTAGTAATGGATTAGGTCCACAATCTGTTCTGTTGTAGTCTAAGGTCCCTCACCCCGTATCCTTATATTACACCTACCGTCTGCTTGGAAGAACTCAATCAAAGTAGTGACATTTTCGTGGCCCGGGGAAACGGAGTCGACTTCGTTGGCGAGAGGTTTCTGAGTGATTTATAAACAAAGTTGCCTCTTTATCTTCCTCCAACCTAGTTTGGAACTCTACAGATGAAAGTTTGCATCGATGAAGCTCTAAAATCTACTCAAGAAGATAGATCGCCACCGCCGGTGTCAGTCTCCTCCTTCCGCTCCCGATCTCACTTCTCTTTCCACTGTTACGCTATCTCTCACCAGGTCTCTCTCTCTCTCTTTCTCTTTGTTGTTGCTTATTCAAAATTTCTATTTTATATATATATATATATATATATATTTATGGTAGAGCCTTGATCTTAGATGCTTTTTTTATTCTCTGTACCTTTTGGTTCAACTGTTGAGATCTAAAAGCCTTGGATGTAAGTTAAAGACCATCTAGAGAGAAATCCAGTCATGATACTACAGAGAATGTAAGTTATCAGTCATGTAAGTTAAAGACCATTTCTCCAGATGTAAGTTAAAGCCTTGGATGTAACTGTTGAGATCTAGAAGCCTTGGTATAAGAATTTCTCTAGAGAGAAATTCTGAAATCCAGAGAAATTTGGTTAAAACACAAACAGAGAATCCAGAGAATTTCTCTGGAGAGAAATTTCGAAATCCATAGAAATTTTCAAAAAATTTTCTGAAGAGAAATTCTCTGGATTGAATTTTCTCCATCAACCACTTCTCCAGCCAGTCAATGCATCAGAGAAATTCTAGGAAGGATTGGGCCAGAAAAATCTGAGAAGAATTGGATCAGAGAAATTCAAAATTTCTCTGGACTCAGCCAATGCATTAGAGAAATGCTGAGAAATTTTAGGAAGAATTGGGCCAGAGAAATTCTGAGAATAATTAGACTTTCCAGAGAAATTTGGTCTGAAATTTCTCTGGACCAATTTTCTCTGGACTGAAATTTCTCTGGACCAATTTTCTCTGGACTGAAATTTCTCTAGATCAAGGTTGAGGGACCTTAGGCATTATGAAAATATTGTTGAGGGACCTTAGATATTATGAAAATATTGAATGTCCTTTATGCTATACAATCTTAATATCAGGGACCTTAAAAAAAAACCCCAAGATAAAATTATGTAAAATTGATAAATCTTTTAAATATTTATTTATTTTTACCAAATTAATTTTTATTATGTGTTTGGATGCTGATCATTTAATAGGTAGTTGTTTTTATTTTCATTAAATTAGTTTTTATTTTTTCAAAAGTCAAATATGGCGACAACTTTGATATCATTATTAAACCAATCCATTAAATCAAAAAATCCAAAACAAAAAATATTTAATATATTAAATATATCGATTACACATTAAAATCTTAACAACCACTCATTACATGATCATCATTTAAACACATCATAAAAATTAATTTGACAAAAAAAAAAAGTCTAAAAGATTTATCAATTTTACATAATTTTATTTTTGGTGGGTAGTAATAATTTTTAAAAATTTAAAAATATTTTTTTGATATTTATTTTTGTCAAATTAGTTTATATTTTATCAAATTAACGATTTTGCCACTGAAATTAAGCAATGATATCTTCAATTGTTCTTATTTGAAACAAGGTTTAAAATTTAAGATCAAATGTGTCATAATTGAAAAGTTAGGGATCAAAGTGGCACAAGCCACAAACTATAGGGTTGACACCCCTGAGGTTTATGTTTATTACAGTTTCCCTTCATCTTTTGAAAATTACATCCCCTCCCTGAGATTTAAAGTTTCATTACAGATTGCTTCATGAGATTTAAAGTTTCATTACAGATTGCTCCATGAGATTTAAAGTTTCATAACAGTTCTCCCTCATCGTAATAATCATCATACATAAAATTAAATTAACATAGGGTCAGTGTAATTTTCCAAATGTGAGGAAGAACTGTAATAAATATAAACCTTAGGAGGGTGTCAGTGTAATTTACCCTTCAAATTATGTGTACAAATTTCAAATTATGTTTACAAAATAACATAAATATATGAAATTATTATATAAATAAATATAAATTAAAATATGAGAAATATGATTTAAAATCAAATAAAATTTGGTACTAAAAAAAATTGTGCTTGGGAAGTAAGCATACAACACGGGGACCTCGACACCGGCACGGAAACAAACCATGTCCTGGGGCGATTCCTGAGAGAGTGACGATTCAAAAACCCTTTTTTGTCGATTTTCATGGCGAAATCAGACAATTCCAAGCCCAATTCCTTGAATCCACCTCCTTTCTCTGCCAAAATTCACCCTTCCAACGATGCCGATGCCGACCCCAGCTCCTATTCCCTCGAGAAATTCAGACTCTACGAGACCAAAGCGGTAAGCAATTTTCTCAATTTAATTTTTATTTTGGTCGAGAAAATCGAAATTCGAGAGCTTTCTCGATAACCAAATGGTGGGTTTTATTAATCTTGGTTTCTTTGTTTAATTTTTTGTGATTTTTTTGTTCATTATCAGTGTTTTGCTTTGTTGTCGAGAAAACGTATAGAAAATTGAGATTCGAGAGCTTTCTCAATAACCAAATAACGGGTTTTAGTACTCTTGGTTGCTTTGTTTAAATTTTGTGTTTTTTTGTTCAATTCAGGAGAGATTTACCTGTTTGTGTTTTAGTCTTCTGTTTGTTTGTGAAGAAAATGTAGGATAAGTAAAAAATCGGATGACAAAACAACATAAAACTAAATTTCTGCATTTTCTCTCATATTTTCTTCGGTTTTCTCATTAACCAAACAGAGGGTTTAATATTTTTGGCTGTTTTGTTTAAATATTTTAGAGGTTTTACCTAATTGGGAGTGATCGGAACAAGAGATTCTTCCGGGTGTTGAAGATTGACCGCATGGAACCGTCTGATCTCAACATCAGTGAAGACCCTGTGGTTTATTCACCACAGGAAGTCAAGAGCTTGCTTCAGCGGATTGCCGAAGGCAATCGGGCCACTGGTGGACTAACCTTTGTTGCAAAGGTTTATGGCATTGCTGGTCAGTTTTGGTTGCTTTAATGTTAAGTTTGGGTTCTTTAATTGATATATATATATATATATATATTTGGTGTTAAAATTAAGTTTTGGGTTGTGGGCGTTTGACTTTGGATGTTATTCTGTGCTTTAGGGTGCATTAATTTTTTGGAATCATATTACTTAATTCTGGTAACAAAGCGTCGGCAAATCGGATGCATATGTGGCCATGCAATATATAGTATAGATGAGAGCCAGTTAATTACCATTCCTCATGCTTCAGTTCAAACTGACATTGCTCATTCCAAAACTGAGCTCAGGTACTTTCTTTGTGGTCCAATTACTTTTTGTTGCTTAGTTTTCATTTATTTTTCAAAGTGATGTTTTAATTCTCTGTTCTCGGAGCCTTTTAGAGTTAATAGTCAAATGGTTAAAATTTGTGACAGTTCAAAATTTGTAGAATTGATATACCTTATCTAGAACAAAATTTAACATGGAGTTCTTGTGAAGCAAGATACTTCTCATTTTAGGTAGTTTTAGGATTTTAGTTTTTTTTGTTTTTTTTTTTATGTCCATTGATGGAGAGATTGCTTTTGTAGATGGACATCCTAGGTTGCTCTTGAAACTAGCATAATATTCTCATTTTCTTATTATATAATAATTGCATTTACTTAAGTTAGCAGATATCACATACAACTTTGAGAGTGTTGTATTGTGCGGTGTTGTTAATAATTGGTTTAGAATCTCATTTATATTTATAAATTTTTTTCTACATGTGGATTGCTTGCCTCCATGTTATAGTTTATTTAATAATTAAGCATTTGAATCATCTTGGTTTGTCTTATAAGTGATTTGCTGAAACTGCAGGTACAAGAAACTTTTATCCAGTGTAGATTTGACGAAAGATTTTTTCTATAGTTATACATATCCTATTATGCAAAGTTTGCAAAAAAATGTGCTGTCAATGGGCGAGGAAGGGATGAGATATGAGAATATTTTTGTTTGGAATGCTTTTCTAACCGAATCAATACGATCAAGATGCAATAATACTATCTGGACAATTGCTCTGGTTCATGGACATTTTAAGCAGGTACTTCATAGTTTTTTGTTGATGTGACATTTTTTTCATCTTAGAGGCGGTGGATTTAATGGATAATTACCGAAACATAAACAGTTGTTTGTTGTTTATATGACAACTTTGCTTTGTTTTAGAGAGAAAATTCATAGGGTTAAACTATTTGATTCTTTTTGTTGATCATTCCTTTGTTATTGTGATGGGTTTTCACCTCAGATTTTGTGGATTACGTAGAAAATTATTGCAACAAAAATAGTGGTTGATTGCTCCACTTTTTTGTATATATGTATGGTGTACACACACAAAAACACATTGTTAAAATCCACCTACTCTCCACCTACTTCACCCACTTAAACCTACTCCACTAAACCTAACCCACTACACCACTACCACCTCCACTTCACCTACTCCTTACCTACTACACACTCACCCTCTTCTATATATAGGAATCATGAATCATTGTAATAGATATCAATAAACATACATGAATCAATAATATCAATCATCAATACATATTTCATTCTCTCTATTTTTTCATACATCAAATTTTACATGGTATCAGAGCGAGGTTAAGAACCTAGTAATTTCGTTTCACCGGCGGGCGGCAATCTCGCCATGGCCGCCTGCCGGACAAATCCAAATTTCCCAACAATGGGTTTCACACACACAGGATTCATAGCTCCTTTTTGCACCCAGCAGACAGCTTTGCAATTGGACCCTCTGTCCACCGTGGGTGATAGCAACACACCACACAGCTTGCAGCTGGTCACGCTACCCCCCCTATGGAGCATGGTGGGAGGCCAAACCACAGAGCAAGGAGATTGTTCGAAATTCAAAGGGAACATTCCACATTGCTGTAAGAAGGATCCAACAGTTGTGGACTTGTTGCCAAGAACTCCTTACAACCAGCAGATCGCAAATTGCTGCAAGGGGGGAGTAATTAACTCATGGGTGCAAGATCCATCCAATGCTACGAGCTCATTCCAGATTAGTGTTGGTGGAGCTGGAACTACTAACAAAACAGTGAGGGTGCCCAAGACCTTGACCTTGAAAGCACCAGGGCCAGGTTATACTTGTGGTCCGGCAAAAGTTGGCAAACCCACCAAATTTGTTACCCAAAATGTAAGGAAAGTCACACAAGCTATGATGACTTGGAATGTTACGTGCACATATTCGCAATTTCTGGCTCAGAAAACTCCTACTTGCTGTGTTTCACTCTCATCCTTCTACAACAACACAATTGTACCCTGCCCGACATGCACCTGTGGCTGTCAAAACAACAATACTCAGCCGCCTCAAGCACCGCCTACGGCGTCGAGAGAATTTCGTGATTTCATCAATTGTTGTTTGCAGAGAGCTCCATCCAAGAGATGGACCATACCTGTGGCTACCTACCATATTCGGCAGAGCAGCAGCAGACAAGATGGGCTATATCTCCTGAGAAAACAATTTTCAAGAAGGAACAATTTTCATCCTCATCATCATGTAACCATCTCTCTCTCTCTTAAGGAGAATAAAGAAGAAAAGAGAAAACAAAACAGGAACCACACACTGTTTTGCACACGCACTCTTGTTCCCCACTCATATTTTTTTATATTTCTTTTACTCCTCCTTTTGACAAGGACACGAACCACACACTGTTTTGCACACCCATCATCTTTTTTTTCCCTTAGTGGTAGGACCCGCCAACACCTTTGAATCTCCCCTTTTCTTTTTTTTATTTTTTATTACTTTAACCTTCCGAAATTTTTCTTCACCTTTATCCCACACTTCATTTTATTTATTATTATTATTCTTATTTTTTTTTTAAAAAAAAAAAAAAACCATCATCATCTCTCCTCCGTTTGATTTCAAACTCCTTTATTTTTATTTATTTTCTCCAAACCACTTTCCTTATTTCCCCCATCTTTCATTTTTGATTTCAAATATATTTTTATTATTTCTTTCTTTATTTTTCTTTCACATTATTTTTAATCTTTTTCCAATTCCATTCATACCATATAGCTTTGCACACCAAACCATATTTTATTCATCTCAGGGATCCCCCCGATCACCATGTTTCCACATACAAAAAAAAATAAAAAATAAAAATAAAAATAAAAACAAATACAAACAAACAACCACATTCACAGGTGGGATTTTTCTTCTCTACTCTGCCGCCGGTCTTTTCTTCTTGCCTCCGTCCTGGGCGGTCCTTGCCGGTGTTGCCTCCGTGTTTCCCACTCCACTGGGCATGATCACTCCCCCATACTCCTCCACTGCAGCATATGGCGGACCTCCAAATCGGAACATTACGGTGGCCTTCCGCTTCAGCTCCTTATTTTCTGCTTTCAGCACACTTATCTCTGCTCGCGCATCCTTATACATGCGTTGGAGCAGAGCCAGTTGGGCGTTTAAATGCTGCACCTCATTTGTCCTACTCTGCAGCCGGTTTGACAACGGCTAGGGAGGACGAAACATAGTGACAATTTTACAAATATTTGCCAACTAAAACAAGCCAAAATTAAACTACACAGAAATATTCACTCACAGAATATGCAAAGAGCGTCTCCAGTAACAAGTCAACATTGTCTTCACCTAGATTGAAAAGAAAGTCTTCTGGTCAATATCATTAAAGATGGTGATAAAGTCATTTTATTGATGAAAAAAGAAGTTTAACAGAGAAAAGTAAAATTCTAAAGTTTGCAATTGTGCACTACATACCCTTTTCTTCAATCACTTTGTCAACAAGAGATGGTGAGAATCCCATCCCTATTAAAGACGATCTTATATTGCTACTTGATGAGCTCGCAACATTGTCCTAGAATAGATATTTTCCCAACAGGAAAAGAAAAAAAAAAGGGGGACACGAGAGAGAAGCAACAAAAATAAGAATTTATCTTGTGTAAAACTAACCATCCAATTTCTAACTAATTGCCAGGAAAGGTAAACAACTCAATCCACATATCAAGTGACACAAACAAAAACAAAAAAAAATACATTACTACACAAGGGAATGCCAAAAGAATTTATACATGATCCATGCTCAAATTTTAAGATTCAAATCTCAGAATCAATGTAGAAAAGTGCGTATGAAAAAGCATGAATGTGCCGAGTGCTTAACCCGAACCCTGATTTTGTTAGGAAGCCTAGTGAAAGAAAAACAATCCTTGGTATACAATAAGAATCCTAGACATAGAAGGTAATGTAAAGAAACCAGATTTAGATCACCACGAAAAAGCGAAAAAACAAAAAGAAAGAAGGAAAAGTTTTCCCCCATTGAATTTATAGCGACAACCATAGTTGTCAAATCAGAATTCGTATCGTGAATCGAAATAGCCTCATACTGAATCGCGAATCGAATCATGTATCGTAAAGATTCGGCCACTTTTTCTAAATTACTTAAAAACATATATCTACACATTTAGATGTTAAATATGTCTGACAAATATGAAATATTTAGACTTAAATCAATAAAACTGTTATTTTGAATAATAATCACATATTTTAATAGCAGTGTCCTCTACAACGTTATGACACCACCATCCAGTGTCTTCACCAATGGTCTGACACGACCATACAGTGTCTCTTATCCTCTTTTATTTTTATGTATTTTCTTGTTTTGTTACTCTCTCCAAACTCAAGTTGGTTAGTTCCTATCCCCCTTGAGTTTGCGGGACTGTTAAAATCCACCTATTCTCCACCTACTTCACCCACTTAAACCTACTCCACTAAACCTAACCCACTACACCACTACCACCTCACCTACTCCACTAAACCTAACCCACTACACCACTACCACCTCCACTTCAACATTATGTTGGTCTTGAAACTTTATTTGTTTTCACTATAAAAATCTCTCTTGAGGTTTGGCCCATGTATGGAGATCTTCTTGATAGTGAGAAGTGATACTTGACCTTTATTTTAACTGATGTATCTATAGTAACTGATGTATCCTGCTTTAATGCCAAGTCCTTCACTTGCAAGCTTCAAATGTTATAGACTATAGAATACCCTTTCTGCCATGATCTCAAACGATGCCACCAACTCTTTTTTTCCCAAGAAATACAAGAATTGTAACTCATTGGTATGGGTTGAACTCTTTTCCAATCAAAGTGGGATTTCCCCCCTACAGTTTCAATATGGTTGGGACTTGGGAGGGAGAAAAATGGTCAATACAATTATTCCTTGTGGAAATGGCTAATTTGCTTCGTCAAGTGTTGTTCGTGTTTTACCTCTTGCATCCAAATTCTATTGATTGATTTTAGGGATTTTGGTATGAACAAGAAAGCGTGGTTGCTTTGGAAGAATTGTGTTGCCCTGGCCATGTTTTTGGAGATTTGGTTGGAGAGGAATACTAGATTTTTGATGATAAGTTTAATTGATGAATGGGAGATTTGGGATAAGATATGTCATATAGCTTCTTTTTGTTTTTTGATTTCATCTCCTTCTGAGGGGATTTCATTATTTTTGATCAGTAGAGATTGGTTAACAGTTTGTGTCATGTAATTTTGTTTTTGTTTTTGTTTTTTTTTGGTGTGTGTGTGTGAATTGCTTATCTTACATTTCCCTATGTACTCATTTATTTCTTATGTTTTGTTTTTGGATAAATAAGCAACTTTATTGAGTAAGCATCAAGACGATCCAAAAGAATACAAAAATGAAACCCCCAAAACGGGGAAACTCGAAACAGCTCATTTATTTCTTATGTTATTAACATAATTATCTTCGCCGATAAAAAAAATGTCTTTTCCCTGTGCAATATGCTCTCAGATAACATGTCTTTTCATAGAAGTTCTCAGTAATATGTTTTTGCTTGATGTTTTTGTCAAATATGTTCCAATTTAGCATAATGGATTGTATCCTGAAGTTCGTTAGTGAATTCTGTTGTATCTGGTGGTTACAGCATAGACTATCAGTCTTTGGGCGAGACTTCAGTGTTTCTTTGATTTCTAGGCGATCTCGGCATTTTGCAGGGACACGGTATGTGCTAGTTCAATTAACTTCAGTTTATCAAATTTTGAATTCACCTTGATGTGCACTTTATTCTTTGTTTAATAAGTGATAAGTATGAGGCCCAAAACAATGATTACAGATGCAAATGCTTTCAATTTCAACAATTAATCTCACTATTTTTGTAATAAGTAACACGATCTTTCAATTGCTTCAGTTTTTCTTTGTTAATTTAAGGGGCTAATGTGCTTCTTTGGTAGTAAATCCGCAAACATGAAGATAAAGGCTTGTAAACTTGCACACTCCATGCTAAATTTCAATAAAATATCACCTTTAAAAGAAATAAAAATAAATCCAAGTCTTTCAGTTTTATGAGATTTTAATAAATCTTCAATGAGCTTTTTAGTTTATTATTATTATTATTTAAGTCTTACCTGGAGTAGTGTTGGGAGCTATACATGTGCTAACTACATGTTTTTTCTTTTACTTCTTTGGTTATTAAACACTTTCTTCAAGAGATTCACGAGTAATTATCATATAGAGAGGTTTTGATGGGAGTGAGGATGGTGTGGCTGCTAATAAAAAAAGAAAAAAAAAATGACGTCGTGGCTGAAATTGAGGGAACATAGGAAATCTTTCTCTATATATTCATGTAGATGATTCTAGTTCTTTGCCAGATGGGATGAGGAGGGGTTGGGAGAGTCCTTGCAGAAAGAAAGAAGGAAAACATTTAAAATATTTTTTGCCCATACACTTGAGAAGGTGTCAGGTGGGACTTCTGTGAGTGCTTGCTCATTCTTGTTTGCACTTTTTAATAAATGTGGAATGCATGTATAAACTAAAAAAATGCATGCCTGGTAACTTTAAACAAATGTATGGCTGGTAATTTTGTGGGTGCAAGCAATTTTTTATTATTTAATGGTAATGTGGTGTACATGCCAAGATGGCTTGTGTGTTTTTTATTTTCTTGCATGTCTGTGTCTTGGTGTACCTTTTAAGGTGCATAATTCTGATTTACTAATGTGTTATGTGTGCAAAATATGCAACTGCTTACATTTTGTGTGTTGTGTGGGTCGGTGTGGAGTAATGGTCCCTAACAAGTGTTTCTCCTTTTTTGTACTGTGTTTTTGCACGTGTAAATATAGAATTGTGTACATCTGTCTGTTTGTATGCATTTCCATAAACATATCTTTCTTTCTGTGAAGCCAACTCTCCTTTTTCATTATGTTGCAATTTTTGGTTCTTTTTATTTTTCTTCTTGTATGCTAAGTTCAGGGAAGGATCGAAGGAGGATGAACAACAAACCAGGTCAGCCTCTCCCACTGCCCCTTCAGGAACTTTGTGTTTTGCATCGTTCTACTTCTTATCCCTCAAAAGCAGGGTTTCTGAAACTGCATTTTTTATTTTGTAGTTTTTAACCAATTTTAGCCAAGGTTTGGGCTGCTTGTGATATATATATATATATATTGTTTTGTGTTGGTGGTGGTGGTAATATTGTTAGAATGCTTGATGTTGTAGTCAATTCTCCTTACTCAGCCTTGCAATGTAAAGTGATAACATCAAAGCAGAACATGGGTGGAGTTTTTTTGTTTATAACTTAATTGTTGCCATTATAAGGTTTTGTAGTTGACATAATGAATCCATTATCTTGCATGAATGCAAGACATGTATAGTTTTCCTTGATTTCCTTCTCATGTGTTTGTCAGAAGTACTATATATCAATTTGCTTGGGTATATAATGGGCAAATGTGATGATCAGTATTTATTCTTTCATGAGAAACTATGAACAGAGTTAGCTTTGTATGTTGTTTGTCACACACACAAACACACACACATATATATAGTGTGCGCGTGTTTGTTAGAAGTACTATATATCAATTTGCTTGGGTATATAATGGGCAAATGTGATAATCAGTATTTATTCTTTCATGAGAAACTATGAACAGAGTTAGCTTTGTATGTTGTTTGTCACACGCGCACACACACACACACACATATATACATATATATTATCTTAATGGTACACCAGATGAGTTATAGAAATGTATTTAGATAGTGTTTTAATACTCCCCAAAAGTCATCGTACCTGAATGCTTCAGTGCATCGAATATTTATAGTGAATCTTAATAGTTTCTAAGGCAGCTTCTCTTGAGCAACTGACTGCTTGTTACTGGTCCAGTCCAGTGCTCAGAGAGAGAGAGAGAGAGAGAGCAGTGTTTTAAAAGGCACGTGCCTAAGCGCGAGGCGCAATGAGGCATAGCCTTGCGCTTTGAACAGGTCGAGATGAGGCGCAGTACACAAGAGGCAACTTAGGCGCTGAGGTGAGGATTTTTTTTAGAGGCACGAGGTGTGGGTTTCATGGGCTTTACCTATTTTTCTACTCCAACTGTTGATTAAGTGCTTTTTATTTCTTTTTTGAACTACAAACTAGAAGGTTAGTTGTTTTGAACTTAAACTTGAGGTTTTTGGTGGATGTGAATGTGATACTTTATATCTTTTATTGGATGTTATATTTCTAGTTTTTAGAAGATTGAATGTTATGTTTATCAATTATTTGAAATGGTGAAGCTTGCTTTATTATTTTTGGAATTCTATATATATTTGTTATGTTGAAAGTTTGCCTATTTTATAATTTTGGTTTTCTTCTACTACTTAATGTGTACTATTTGAGCGTTGTTTTACAATTTTGGTTTTCTTCTGCTACTTGCGCTTCGCATTGGTAAGGCGCGCGCCTTGCCTTGCGCCTCACGCTTAGGGTATAGGAAACCTTATCGTCTCGGTGTGCCTAGCACCTTTTAAAACACTGAGAGAGAGGTCAAAGGCTTATTACCAAAGTGCTTATAGCATTTTTGATGTGGGATGGACTTGGTGTTAAAATCTTTTGAATGGAATGGAGAAATCAAGCGTAAAACACAATAAATTTTAGGACACTCTTGGCAGGATTTATTACCCTTCTTGTCAACTATAGAATATTCTTATGTTGTATTTCTCTTAGAAAATTTCACAAATTTTTCATTGAGGAATGAATCAATCTAACTATGATTTAATGAATTCTGTTGTTGACACTATAATTTTGGAAATTTGATGTGTGTATTGGGGAAATAGTGTGACAATTGTATGTAAATGGTTTCATTGCTTTGTTATTTGTCATGGATGCAGTTATTTGAAACGGGGGGTCAATGATCGGGGAAGAGTTGCAAATGACGTTGAAACTGAACAAATTGTTCTCGATGAAGAAGCTGGGTCTTGCAAAGGAAAAATGAGTTCTGTTGTGCAAATGCGGGGTTCAATTCCTCTCTTCTGGTCACAAGAAGCTTCAAGATTCAGCCCTAAACCTGATATAATCTGTAAGAACATTTTGTATTTTGAGTAATTTTTGTGCAAATCATTTATCAAAAAAAAAAAAAAAAATGTTTTTGTGCAAATGCAGGGTTCCATTCCTATGTTTATCATTCTGTGTCTATCTTATGGAGTAATTTGTGATGCTTGTTTTTTTCTTCAACTTCAGTACAAAGATATGATCCTACATATGAGGCAACCAAACTGCATTTTCAAGACTTGGCAAAGAGATATGGAAACCCAATTATCGTGCTTAATCTAATCAAGGTCTGTTTTCGAATTTATGGTTGAATGATTAACTGGTGCTTTCTAATTTTTTTTTTTGGCGTATGGATTTTGCCGTCTTTTTTAAATATATATATTATTTGGAACTGATTAGTTTTCATACTGGAAGGTGCCACCTAGCTTAGCTTGTAAGTGTAGTTGTTTGGTAGTCTTATCAGAGACTTGCCATCGAATCCCACGTTCGTGTCTTGTTGAGAGGGTTATGGGCAGGAGACATCTAATAAAATTTATATATTTATTTATTTATTTATTTTTTTTTTAGGAAACATATTTTCTCTTTGAGGATGCTCTGGGTTTTTAGGAGTTAATTATGTTACCTGTAACGACGACAACTGGATCTCGTCGGCGAATTTTATTGATAGTATAGTTTAGATATGGATTTCAAGGTTGAAATTGAGAGCTTTACTACGATACATATTTAAAAGTAGTTGAATCCTTCATAATAAGGATTATTGTTGGTCAAAGATCATAATAAAATAATTATTTTCATACTCTACTCTATCTTCCCCTATGAAATCTACAAGAATAAAATAGGATTCACAAAAAAAAAAAAATCCTTTGCACCAAAAAGGAAAGTTATGCAGATAAATGTTTTAAAACATATTTAGAATATGTAAGTTATGTTATGAAGAATGGAGAATATTGTTGAGAGGAAACATATTTTCTCTTTGAGGATGCTCTGGGTTTTTAGGAGTTAATTATGTTACCTGTAACGACGACAACTGGATCTCGTCGGCGAATTTTGTTCCTCGGTGGTCGGTCTTTTGAACTGGAAAAGTCGTCGGTAGATTCGATTGGGCGTCGTAGTTTATCGATCGTCGAGCCGGGATAGGGGCTCAGACGGGCAGTAATGCTAGTTGGTCATGAAGCAAGATGGATTGTGGACAAATTGCGGGTGGCATCACGGGAACCAGAAGGTCTCCGATTTCTGGGTTGTCTTCATGGGGGGCAGTCGTAGTGTAGTAGTTTGGGTTCGAGGGGAGGAAGATGGTCTTTCTTCGTTTCAAATAGTGGTGACGATGGGGAGTCGTCGGAAACAAATTTTTATTCCATTATCGGAATTTGGTGGTGGGTGGGGGGATGTGGCTTTGGTTATTGAAGGGTTTGGGTTAGGGAATAGATGGGTAAGGCGCACTGGCGGGCTGAAGGGGAAGGTGTTACCCACGTCTGGGCCAGGAGTGGTGCCAAATGGTGGTGTGGGTGGAGGAGTGAAGGCAGTTCACACGACGGTGATAGCAGACTGGTTTCGTCTATTGGGTCGATCACTGGTGGGTCAATTTTGGGAACTGGGTGGCAAAGGGACCAGCCTCGCGGATATCTCAGACTGGGTTAGTCGGTGGTGGAAGCTCTCGGGGAAGGTGGAGGTACGACCAATTGGTGATCAGGCTTTCTTGTTTGTTTTGCCAACTAGAGGTGAGGCGGAGGAGTTATTACGGCGGCAATGGACTATCGGTGGTCGTGATCTGATTTTGGAATGGTGGACGCCTCTGGTGCGATGTGCTTCGGGCAAGCCGATGTCGTCAGGAAAGGGGGTCTGGATCCGAGTGGTGGGATCGCCTATTCATCTTCGTAGGGAGGAGGTTTTCCGTCAAATCGGCAATCAGTGTGGCGGCTTTGTGGAGGCCGACAAGTCACTAGTGGATTTGGGCTCTATTCGATTGTGTTAGGGTTTCGGAGAACACAATATCGTGAATTTCCATCCGATGGGGGTCGTGGAACTATTCGTTGCTGGTATGGGTGGAGGAAGGTCCGACGGTGGAGCCAGTGGTGCCGCCGGTTGTGGTAGGTGCGGATCTTCAGCTGGGAAAGGAAAGCCGTGAGTCACGGCGATCGTTTTGAAGAATCTCGAAGATATTGGGGGTGAAGGAATAGCTGCAGAAATTTGAGAGGAAGTACGTATATCGGGGCCGTTGTTTTCGGCCTCCAGTTTCGTTGGGCCACGGAGTGGGCTTAGAAGGGGGTTTTAAGGCCACGCAAGTGGGCCATGCTAAGGCCCAAAAGTTTATTCCAGAGGGCCAGTACTGGTGGGCTAATACAAAAAAAAAAAACCAACTTTGGGCCTGGACTGTGCGATGGGTCAATTGGGGCAAGGGTTTGACAAACCCAATTCAAAAGGACGTGGTTCAGGCCAACCCAGTCAAACTAACCCGAAGCTTAGTTAGGTTTTCGCTTCGCTTTGAGCTGGAGTGTTGGCAGCGGAGACGGGAGCTCAGGGGTGGAACGCCGACGGTCGGCCAGGGGGCGCACAGCAGTCCATTTTCTCTGCCGATGTTGTTTCTCCCTCGCATCATGCTGGCTCCATGGTAGATGAGCAGCGCTATGACGAGGCGGGTACTTAGGGTACGTGTCAGGTGGAGGCGTTGCCTAACGACTCTTGTTGGGCTGATTTGGCAGACGAGATGGCCTTGGTGGTCCGACTTGACGTTGTCATTACTGGGGCAGATGGGGAGGATGTTGTGGCTGAGGGTGGTGACTCACTGTCAGAAACTGAGTTTTAGGAGGATAGGTTCCCGAGTACAGAGGAAGTTTCGGAATGGGTACTCTCTCGTATTTATGAGGTTAGCCAATTTTTGGGGGTTTCTTTCCAAGGGCATGAGAATGAGGCCCTTAAATTATTTTCAGCTATAGAGGAGTCATGGCGGGACGGTGCTCCCAAACGAGATGTGGAGAAGCCTGTGAAAAACAATGGGAAGGGTGTTCGGGAATTGCGGAAATTAGAGTGCTCCATCAATTATGATCGGAGTAAGGGTGGGGATGGGCGAGGTGCTAGAAAGGCCCGCGAAAACCAGTTGCTGTTGTAATGCAGTTAAAGATTTTGACTTGCAATGTGCGGGGATTGAATGATAGGGGGAAGAGGGTGTTGGTAAAATCGGTGCTCAAAAGTGCAAGGGCAGATGTGGTGTGCCTTCAGGAGACCAAGCTGGAGCGTCTAGGGGGGGAGTTAGTTAGGGAGTTGTGGGGTGGTCGATTTGTGGATTAGGCTTTTTTGCTGGCTGTAGGGGTGGCAGAGGATGTTCTTCTTTGTTGGGACAGGAGGGGGGTGGTGAAGGAGGAGGAAGAGGTGGGGGCTTTCTCGATCTCTCATCTTTTTCGGTGTGTCGAGGATAATTTTCGTTGGGCCTTCACAAGGGTTTATGGGCCGGTTAGTGGTGGGGAGCGTCTAAGCTTTTGGGAGGAGTTGCAGTGCATTGCCTTCTGGTGGGGGGTTCCATGGTGCGTAGGCGGTGATTTCAATGTGGTAAGGAGTATGGAGGAGAAGTTGGGGGCCAGGTCGGTGGTGAGTTCTATGCTGGCATTTTTGTTGTTTATCAATGAGATGGAGTTGGTAGATTTTCCATTGCAGGGTGGTGGCTATACGTGGTTTGGGGGTGGAGCTATGTCTCGGTTTGATAGGTTTTTAGTAACAGGGGAGTGGGAGGAGCATTTCTCACTAATGTCTCAAGTCCGTTTGTCACGGTCAGTATCCGATCATTGGCCGGTCTTATTGGATAGTGGGGGAATCAGGAATGGACCAACGCCGTTTCGATTTGAGAATATGTGGCTGTTATTTGCGGGTTTTATGGAACAAGTGAAAGGTTGGTGGGATAGTTATTCTGTGTCAGGCTTGCCTAGTTGCCGTCTCGCGCAGAAACTCAAAGTTCTCAAGTTCGATCTGAAACAATGGAATAGGGACGTTTTTGGCTTTCTGGAGGTGCAAAAGGCCTCTGCGTTGGCTGTATTGCAGGAGCTGGATGCGATAGAGACTACGGGGGGATTGTCTGTGGCAGATATGGCTCGTCGGGAGAGGGTTCGAGTAGAGTTTGCCTAGGTTGCTCGGATGGAGGAGATTAGCTTCCGGCAGAAATCTCAATGCTTATGGCTGAAGGATGGGGACAGCAATACTAAGTTTTTCCATCGTATAACAAATGCTCATCGTAGGGTGAATCAGATAGGCTGCTTGCGAGTGAATGGTGTGGAGCTGCCATCTTCCGAAGAGATTAGCGCAGGTATCGTGGGTTTTTGTGAGCATTTATTTCGGAATGAGAGGGAGGTGTGGAGACCGGGCCTAGATGGTGTTTTGTTTGATGCTATTTCACAGGATGATAGCTGGTTGTTGGAACGGCCTTTTGTAGAAGATGAAGTCCTTGAGGCTTTACGGAGTATGCCTGGTGATAAGGCGTCGGGTCCAGACGGTTTTTCCTTAGCCTTTTTTTAGCAGTGTTGGGGGTTGGTGAAGGCAGATGTCATGGCCATGTTTGAGCAGTTTCATCAGACAGGTGAATTTGAGCGTAGCCTTAATGCCACATTTATTGTCTTGATTCCCAAGAAGGGTGGGCTGAGGATATTTGGGACTTTCGGCCTATTAGTTTTTTAGGGAGTGTGTATAAGCCTTTGGCAAAAGTGTTAGCGAATCAATTATGTGGTGTGTTGGAAGGGGTGGTTTCTAAGTTTCAGAATGCTTTTGTGGGTGGTTGCCAAATTTTGGATGCGATCCTAGTGGCGAATGAATGTGTGGATTCTAGAATTCGGCAGGGGCAGGCAAGCCTTATTTGTAAGCTTGATATTGAGAAGGCATATGATAATGTAAATTGGAAGTTTTTATTATATATGTTGCACATATTAGGTTTTGGGGATCGATGGAGGAGATGGATTCAATTTTGTATCTTCATAGTGCGGATGTCGGTCCTTGTCAAAGGGTTCCCAACGGGCTTTTTTCTTACTTACAGAAGGCTTCGACGAGGGGATCCGTTATCTCCTTTGTTGTTCATCTTGGTGATGGAGGTGTTGGGGTGGTTGTTGTCTAGGGCGGTGCAGGGAGGTCTGTCGCAGGGGTTTGACGTGGGAGTGGCTTTTGCAGTTTTGACGGTATCCCATTTGTTTTATGTGGATGATGCGCGGCATGTGGGATGCGGTGGTGGATCGGGTGCAGCGACGGTTGGCAAGATGGAAGCGGCTGTACTTATCTAAAGGTGGTAGACTCACTTTGATTAAGAGTGTCTTATCCAGCATCTCGACTTACTTTATGTCTATTCATGTTATTCCAGTGTCAGTGGCGTAGCGGATTGAGAAGTTGCAGAGGGATTTTCTATGGGGTAATGGGGGGGAACTTCCTCTCATTTGGTGGCTTGGGACCGGATTTGTCGCCCTAAGGTGAATGGGGGTTTGGGGATACGGAGGTTGGCTATGTTTAACGTGGCTTTGTTAGGCAAGTGGTTGTGGCGTTTTGCAGCGGAGAGCATTGTCTTTGGAGGAGGGTGGTGGTAGCCAAGTTTGGTGAAGGGCGGGGCGGGTGGTGTTTCGGGCGGGTGGGGCAGTCCCATGGTCTTGGTCTATGGAAAGGGATTTGGTTGAGGTGGGAGGTGTTTTAGGGAAGGGTTAAGCTGAAGGTAGGAGTGGGGGATAGAGTTTGGTTTTGGCGGGATAGGTGGTGTGGGGACCTTTCCTTAGAAGTGTGGTTTTCTTTGATTTTTGGTATTGCCGTTGATATGGAGGTGTTGGTAGGGGTTGTGCGGTCTAGGCATGGGGAATCGATTGTTTGGAATGTGCATTTGCGCCGTGATGTACAGGATTGGAAGCAAGATCAGCTGATGGAGCTATTGCGTTTTTTATATGCATTGTGTATTGAGGAGGTTGGGCAGGATTCTTTGGTGTGGGATTGTCCTAGGGCTAAGGGGAAGTTTTCTGTTTCCTCGTTCTATGGTGTGCTTGTTCATGACGAGGTTGTTGTATTTCCTTGGAGATGTGTTTGGGTGTCAGGTGCGCTGTCCAAGGTGGCCTTTTTTGTGTGGACGGCCATGTTGGGACGTATCTTGACCTTGGATAACTTGATTCATTGTGGCTACATTTTGGTCAATTGGTGCTGCTTGTGTTGTGGCGATGCAGAGTCGATGGACCATTTGCTGGTTCATTGCCCGGTCGCTTCCCGTCTGTGGATGCTTCTTGTTGTAACCTTTGGCTTGGCAGTTCTACAAAGCTGGGCTGGAGGTCATGTTGGGAGGAGGCGTTGGAAGGCGTGGATGCTCGCTTCTCATTCTATTCTATGGTTGGTGTGGTTGGAGCGTAATAGGCGTGTCTTCCAAGAGGTATCTCATTCGGTCCCTTGGTTAGAGAGTCGCCTTCTTACGGTTTTGTATAGTTGGGTGACATATTTGGTCAATCCTGATGTTTTGGCTTTTTTAGATTTTGTGGAGGATTTGATTTGTTAATTCTCTGTGTCGTGGTGGTTTTGAGTTTTGTATTTCTTTGCATCTTCTTGATGCTTTTCTAATAAAGCTTTGTTTTTTATCCAAAAAAAAAAAAAAGAAAAAAAACCGCCGGAAAGAAAGAAATATAGGCCTAAATCTTATCGCTCTGATACCATGTTAAAAATGATATATTATTGATTGATATCTGATGTGTTGTGTATATTACAAGTACAAGGATTCCTATTATATAGGAGAGGATTTGGGAGTAGGTGAGGAGTAGGTGGAGGGTAGGTGAAGGTAGTAGGTGAGGAGTAGTAGGTGATGGTAAGTGTATGGTAGGTGATGGTAAATTCTAACAGCCCCCCGTAAACTCAAGGAGGATAGAAACTAACCAACTGGAGGTTGAAGAGAGGAACAAAATAAGAAAATACATAAAAATAAAAAAGGATAGGAGACACTGTATGGTCGTGTCAGACCATTGGTGAAGACACTGAGCGAGGGCATGGTTGCCGGCCGACTGCCCGCCGGAAAGAAAGAAATATAGGCCTAAATCTTATCGCTCTGATACCATGTTAAAAATGATATATTATTGATTGATATCTGATGTGTTGTGTATATTACAAGTACAAGAATTCCTATTATATAGGAGAGGATTTGGGAGTAGGTGAGGAGTAGGTGGAGGGTAGGTGAAGGTAGTAGGTGAGGAGTAGTAGGTGATGGTAAGTGTATGGTAGGTGATGGTAAATTCTAACATGCATCTATTACTTTTTATCCACAAGAACCACATAGGACATGGGGTTGCCACCATCCAAGCTTCTTTTTGCTATTCCACTTGCAACTGCTACCCTAGCACTCCAACAACATTTGCACCTAGGATGGCATCATCCATTGTACCTGATAAATGGACAAAAAGAAGTCTTATGACTCCTTAGCAACATTAAAATGAAGAAGAAAATGATCCACAATCTCCTCCGCATTACAATCACATATGACATTTATTAGACATCCTGAAGCCTCTCTTTATCAAATTGCTAGTGGTGAGAATGGAGTTCAAAGCAGCCGTTCAAACAAAGAAAGCCACTTTTGTTTGACCCCAACTTCCTGATGATATTTTAAGAAACCCACAAAAAAATAAGTAATGATAGGATTTGATCAAAAACATTCCATTTCTACACCTCCACCTCCACCTCATCCTATCAATTCTGTTTGATGGAATTTCCCATGAAGAAGCTCGAGAAACTCATCTATTGCCTCCAATTCATAATCTTATATTTATCTAATGATGAGAGGGTCACATACCATCCAGAGCTACAGGCTCGTAATCTGATATCAAAGCGTCCTTATGAGTTTTGTGAGGTACAGAAATGTTACCAATGGAGGGATTTCTCTACACCAAAAATCATGCAAAAATTGAATCTTGCTTCCATCCCCCAGCTCACACCTCACATGCTTAAGAAAATCTAACTGTTTCTTTCTGATAGCTTTCTATATACTCCCACCCCATACTGCTCTTGACTCTCCATAGAAGTCCATCCTCTTTAGTCCACTTCAAACTTAACAATGAATCGCCCTTCTCCATAACTGTTCCTCCTTCATAACATATCTCCATAGCCAGCTTTCTTCTCAATGCTTAATTAAATTGCCGATAGTAATTAAGGCACAAAGGCCCAAACCACCATTCTCAATAGGCATGCACACCTTCCAATTTGCAAGATGCAATTCATACTACTCCAATCCTCCTTACAAAAAAATTCTATGCAACAAGAGATTTAGGAAATTTCTTTGCAATTTTTCTAATCTCTACTCACTGAAGCAGGCATAAAAAACATAGACATAAAGTAGTTAGGAAGACTAGCTAGTATACTCTTTATAACAGAACTTTCCCTCCCTTAGATATTGTTGCTTCCATCCTGCAAGTCTCTTCTCAAACCATTCCACTACTCCACCCCAAACTGCTGTAGCATTATGAGTTTAACCAAGCTGAAGACTCACATATATACCATAAGAAGAGTTCTCATTCTAAGACCCAAGGAGTTAGCCACTCCCTGAATATTCTGAACCACCTCTATTGGAATGAGTTCACTCTTCCTGTTGTTCACCTCTGCTAGACACTGCCTCAAAGCATATGGACACACATTACAAGTATCTCAATTTCTCCTCGTCTGCCTGAAAAGACGATGGTATTGCCTGCAAAAAGAAGCTGAGAGATCTTCTCCTCTTCCCTGCCTCTACCTCTAATCCTGAAGCCTATGATCATCCCCCTTCTTGCAGTGCCTTTCTGATCAGCCCACTCAGAACTTCCATGACTATAATGAAGAAAAAGAGGATAGAGGATCTCTTGTTTCAACCCTTAGATCTGGTGGAGCAGCTTGATGTAAATGCCCCATTTGATCCACCTTTTCCATTTCAGCCCAAAACCTGTTCTTTCCGACACAGATCAGAAAGTGTCAACTCACGTGGTCATATTTCGGACTCTTTCATTACTACTACTAATTCCATTTGTTGTGATATTCTACATGTTAGGATGAGAGATACATTTATTGAGGCTTCCCAGTCTTGTACTTTGATGTTTGAGCTCCAATTTATATTGGTAATTTGTGAAACCATTTGCTTACATTTGAATGTTAAATTTGCAGACTGTTGAGAAAAGGCCTCGAGAAATGATGCTAAGACGTGAGTTTACTAATGCAGTTGGGTATCTTAACCAAATTCTGTCAGAAGAAAATCATCTTAAATTCATCCACTGGGACTTCCACAAGTTTGCAAAGAGGTATGCTTCTGATGCTTGTCATGCAATAAAAGTTTGCTTACCTTTGCGCTAACTGTTCTGTTTCTCTTCTGTTTTCAAGCAAGTCTGCCAATGTTTTGGCAGTTTTGGGCGGTGTGGCAAGTGAAGCACTTGATTTGACGGGGTTTTATTATAGTGGAAAGCCTACCATAGTTAAAAAGAGAGCCACCCAACTCAGTCGAACGAGCACCGGGAGGTATTTTATTTGTCTTTGATAGATTTGTCTGCATTTTCGTTTTAGTAACATGTTTAAGTTCAGGATTAGTTATTGGACTAATTGTTTTGGTTCTAACTTATAGGCTTAAAAAATTCCCAAGGTTTTGTGTCATATCTTGACATTGTTGGACTAGTAGCAACCTTGAATTTCTTTTGCATGCTGTTTCTGTTTCTTAAGGCTCTCTAGAGCCTTTTAGATTGAGGGCATTATGGTTTATGTCTTTGTAATTCTGTCGTAATGTGTTTACGTTTCTCAATACATTTTTCCGTGGTTTACAGATGAATATAATCCTTGAGTGTTGAATCTTATGCTGTGCACCTTGTGTAGTTTTGATCTGTTATGCTTATGTGATATTTAGCTATATTTATTGCCTTTTGTGAATTTCATTACAACCAGCTTGTTTTAATGCTGTTGACAGTGACTAGGCTTTATTCTGCAAGCCACAGATTAGACTTGGTGGCCTCCTCATACTACCAAATAGATCAAATTTTCGCAGCATCTGGATACTGCTTCGTATATTGTTTAGTATTTTACACAAGCTCCGACCCTTTTGCACTTGGAATTCCAAGGCAGCTTTCCCTCTCTTCCCCCCTCTTCCTCTCTCTATGTTTGTTTGTGCATGTGTGGTGGCATTATGTGTATATCAATCTTATGTATTAAATTTTTTCTCGAGGTGATCTCAAATTATTTTCCTTTATCTGTGATGTTTGACTAAATTAAATGATGTTAATAATAAATTGTATTAGTATAGTTGATCTACTTCTGTGTAACCCTTGTTATGGACTTGATTTTGGAACAAATTTGAGCTGATAAATAGCATTTTTGTTTTTTTGTTTTTATGCACTGTATATGGTCTGGATATTTGTTATTTTATTATTTCGTTTTTAAAAGTCAAATGAAAGAGAGGACATTGATTCTCCACGGGATAAAGTGTATTTTTTATCTTCTTTTTTTTATACCATCTTCACATATTTTGATACACTATTGGGCAGTGGTTAGCATTTTCCATTTAACTAAGGCAATTGGTGATAACAGTGTGCAAAATATATTCTTTGTTGCTGGCTGATTTTACATGGATAGTTTTAATATTTTATAGCTCATGGCTGTTTCTTTCAGGGATGCTTCGCTTAGAGATCTGAGAGCCAATTCAGGGGAACTTGCTATGATTGGAAGTAATAATGATACATTGAATTCTTTGATGAAACAAGACTCCCAGTCTGATTCTAGTGAACAGATTAGCAAAGATAATTATGGTGGTTCAGCCCCACGGTTCCAAAGTGGAGTTTTGCGCACCAATTGCATTGACTGCTTGGATCGTACAAATGTTGCACAATATGCTTATGGCCTAGCAGCTTTAGGCCGCCAACTTCTTGCAATGGGTCTGTCAGACACACCCAAATTGGATGCTGAGTGTACCATTGCTGCAGCTTTAATGGAGATGTATCAGAGCATGGGTGATGCTCTTGCCCAGCAATATGGTGGCTCTGCCGCTCACAATACTGTATGTACCCACATTAATATAGGTTAATTTTATTCATCAATAATGTCAAGAAATTAATCTTATCATCCGCTTTTGTGTTTCAAGAAATGTTGGTTTTCATGTGCTATTCGTATATTATTCAACAATACATTTGTCTTGATCTCTAGGTGTTTCCTGAGAGGCAGGGCAAGTGGAAAGCTACGACGCAGTCTAGGGAATTTCTCAAGTCTATCAAGCGATACTACAGTAATGCTTATACTGATGGTGAAAAGCAAGATGCGATTAATTTGTAATCATCTATTCCTGTTGTTTCTTCTCATTGATCCATTATTCTTTCTAGGGGTTGTCACACACAATGCACGTGGTTGGTATATACTACATAACTGTCCCATCTCCATTTTTGACTGAACCTTCTCATCGTATTTGAAATTTGAAATTTAGCTACAACTGTTCCACTATAGTTTCCTCTCTCTCTCTCTCTCTCTCTCTCTCTCTATAATTGGTTTATTAACTGCATTCTTCATCCACAACTTCTCATAAATAAAAACTCAAACATGACAATTTTGAAAATTTTAAATTCTATAACTTGACACAACTTCACTTTTTTGTTCACACCAAACAGATGTTCTGGCTTTATATGTTAGTATAGATAAATGTTGTTCAAGCATGTGGTGTTATAACTGTACTGGGTTTCCTCTATCCTCAGTATACGGGATGAAAGAAGCCTTTGATTTGAATCTCCAGCACATGGTTCCTCACTTGGTTGTAACAGAGTTTTGTGGAAATGTAGGATGCTTCAAATTTATTTCTTTGTTTGCTGGGTTTATCAGATTTTTAGGCTACTTCCAACCACAGGAAGGGAAACCTGCACTTTGGGAGCTGGATTCTGATTATTATCTTCATGTATCTGGGATTGGAGATGACCTTTTTATCCCGGATAACAGGTAAACCTCAACGTGTTTCAAATTTTTGAGGCATCTCACCTTATATTATTCTCTCGTCTCTCCTTGTAAGTAGTTAAGTTAACCTCAGTTATCTAATTTGACCATCAGAATGGGTAGTGGGAGGGGTATATTGCTTTGCAAGTTTTAATTGTATCTAGTTACTGTTTTATCCTGATCTGACACACCAAAAAAAAAAAGAAAAGAAAAGAAGATTGCTTTATCCTTTAGTTTAACTAAAAACAATTGGTATGGCGTGTTTTAGTATGTTGTACTGTAAATTTTTCAGGAGATTTAGCAAATACTGGGACGAAAGTGTGTCCGTGTGCATTTACACATGTTATATATTTAATGAAATAGGAAGGATCTGAAAAAACCCATCATGAAACATTGGGCCCGTTTGGTAGAGCTGTGGGAAAGTGATTATAGATTATGGCTTAACAGATTATAGATTATAATTTTAAACATAAGTTGTTAATCTGTTGGGTGCAATTATGGGATTATGGATTTAATCAGCAGAGTAGTGTTTGGTTAAATAAGCTGTAAAATAGCTTTTTGCTGTGTAATGTCCTTTTTCCCCCTTTTTTTTTTTCATTTTATTTTATTTTTCTCCTTTTTTTCTTTTCTCTTCTTTCTTTTTTTATTTTTTCTTCTCTCTTTTTATTCTCTTCTTTCCTTATTTCTTTTTTTTTTTAAAAAAAAAATGGTGAAATACCAATTAAAATTTTCAAATTATATTCATTTTAGTTTGTAAATACATGAATATTAATTGATATTTTTTTAATTTATTAAAAATTGTTACAAATACCAATTAATATTTTTTTTATTTATTATTACAAAATATATCAATTTATTAATATTTTTTAATTTAATTTATTATCAATTAATGGATTAATTAGTATCAATTAATATTAAAATTATTAATTAGTATCAATTATTATTATTATTATATTAAACAAACAATGAAAACCCTAGCTGCCGAAGAGAGAGAGAGTCCATCACAGACACGGAAGGCACAGTGGCGATTGTAGGTGATTGAGCCGGCGGTGCAAGCGAAGGTGATGAGTTTGGTGATGAATTGGAGGGGAGCTTCATAAGCCAGCTCAAAGGAGAGCTTCGTAGGATGCTCGCTAGAGGAATTGAAGCTGTTGAGAGAGGCAGAGGAGACTAGTGGAACAAACCTAATAGATAAGATATGTTGTAGCCCTCATTGGACGCGACTAGTGGAACAAACCCAACTCTGTTTTTCGACGAAGAAGAAAAGGAGAGAGAGAGAGGCAGAGGAGAGGGGTTTTGGGTGGTGGTGGTTTTGGTTTTGGTGGTGTGAAAAAGGAGATGAAATTGGAAATGGATTTGGAAGCCATGGATGTTGTGGGTGGGTTTGCTTAGGGTGTATTTGGCTCTCTCTTCTGTTTTGAATAAGGGTCCAAGAGCAAGCTCTTCGTCTTCATCAACCTCTGCTACAGATGGCAACATTGATTCACGCCGAAGAGAGAAAGAGAGATAGCTAGGTCAAGAAATCGACGCCGGAAATCGCCACCAGAAATCGTGCCGGAAATTGCTCCCCAAGCATTTCTCTTTCTGAAGAAGTGAACAGTGTTTGGTCTAAAGTTTATATATTAGTTTTTTTGGTAATAGTTGAAGTTGATGAGGGGCATTTAAGTAATTTTACCCCTCCCTTCTCAGCTGGCCGGTTAGGCTGAATCACTTAAGCACCCCCACAGCCAGTTCAAGAAAAGTTGATTTTTGACTTATAAAAAGCTATAATCTGTATTATTAAGTTGTACCAAACACAATAAAACAGCTTAAATTAAGCTAAAAGTTGAAATAAGCTGGAAAAAGCTCTACCAAACAGGCACATTGTTATTTTCAACTATAGAATATATCCAAGAATTCAAATTTGCAAATGTTTTTGAAATTGTGTTAAATTCTGAATCTGAACCTACTGTTGTTTCCTATTCTTTTTGAGTGGTGATCTCTGATCTGAATGTTTATTTTAATTTTTATGTTTTTATCTAATTACATATGAATGCATTGACTAATTTAAATTCACAGTTCCCTATCTGAAGCTAAGCTTATGGGAGCAAGAACTACTTTTGCCCCTATTTCGGCTTGCAGAGAGGACTTCTCACGGTTGAAGCTGACATCATTTGATAAGTTGATAGAGAGAACATGCAGTTCAATACATAATGTAAGGCTTTTCAGTGAACCAGATCATAAACCTTGGAATTCTGGAGTGGCACCTGATGCAGCGTAATTATCTGCTTGAGCTATGCAAATATCCTTCTTGGTTTAGCATTGCATTTCTTTTCTTTTCTTCATCTAATTCTACTCCTGCAACATGATGGAAAATGTAGCCATAGACCAACAAATCATTGCAGAATATTCTGCTGTAGTTTATTAGTTTTGCATCCATATTTGTCATTAAGTTCTGGATAATTGCTTTTGATTGTTTTTGCTTCCTTGTTCCTTGTGTTCTTTGATGTGGTTGGTGTTATTAATTTATTCTTGGAGGTTTGTGTTTCTTTTAATGTTGCATTTATCTTCTTTTTGGTGTAGAACATAGTAGCGGGGAGACGAAAGAATCAACAGGCCACTGCATTAAACACTGACAATACTATTTGTTAAAATGTACCTACATCTACCACCACCTACTACCACACCTACTACACCTACCACCAATGTACCCTCACCTACTCCTCACCTACTACCCAAATCCTCTCCTATATAATAGGAATCCTTGTAATATCAATAACACAACAGATCAAAATATCAATCAATAATACAGTATTTTTTACACTATTAGAACCAAATCTGATTAATACAATGAAAGACCTATTATAGGCTAATTACAGTAATCAAAATACGAAACTAAACCCTATACAATATTTGGAAACACAATCAAAGTATCTAGACTAGAAATTATTTGAATCCTAACTAAATAATAATTACACCAAATCTACCAATTACTTTTATTTGATCAAATTAAAGTGATATCTTTTTACATGGTCTTAAGTGGGGCATGCAAAGAGTCCCGGGGATTAGTCTTTGATGTTTTTAGACTTGAAAGGGGGTTGTGGGAGCTAGGGTTTGGCTCATGAGAAGAGCAGCACTGCATTTGCCTATTTGGTTGAAGTGGAGTATGAGAACCTTTGGAGGGGAGGGGATGCTGATCCATTTTCTGAAGTATACCTCTGTTTTTGAAGATTGTATTGGGGTTTTCATTTTTTTCAGACTTGCGTTTGGGTTATTTAAGCTTGTCGTATATTTTCCAGTCCTGCTTATGTATTTGGTGCTTACGTGGGTTTTACCCTCTTGGGGGTTCGGGCATTACAGTGGTTGCTTTTACTTACCAAAAGAAAGTATGCATACATATTTATTCTTAGTGTATTACCTTTCACTGGTCTGTGACAGTTTGCATTTATTTAGCAAGAATGAGTCAGAAACTTTCCTTTCCTTATTTCTTGGCTGCTGGCTTATTGTTTTGTTTGTATGAGATTGAAAGATAGCTACATCTATGTTCTCTCCAGTAATGTTACATATGGGACTTCAATTTTCTCATTAACTACCCCAGTGCTGAAATGAATTTTGTTTTATGCTGCTGTATTTCTGAATTTGATTACTTAGGCATATGTTATAATGATTACACTGAATTTATTTATTTATTTATTTTTTTCCAGTGAAATACAACTCAAAAGTCCGAACTGGCTTTTTGGCCAGAGGAAGTATGAGGAAAGTAACTCTGCACCCAAGGTGGCTTCACAGGAAACTGCAAATGGAAGGTGTCAAGATGAGAAGAGAGTAGATGGCTTGTGTGACCTCAAGTGGCTTTCTTCTGGTGGTGATGTCAATGAAAAGGATGTCTTTAAGAGGTATTTCTCTTCAAAACCATTATTTGTGAATCATATTCTATGAATATGATATCTTTCCAAGTATCCGTCTATCTAATCCCAAGGGGTTTGGCTTGGTGGGAGGAGAAGGCAACCAAAGGGCTTACCACCTAGGAGGTCGCAGGGTTGAATCTCACGAAGGCCAAACATCCCAAACCTTAGGTCCGCTGAAGGTTGGGGTGATCGTTAACTTCAGGGTCCTGGGATTAGTTGAGGTGCGCATAAGCTGGTCCGGACACCTGGTTATCAAAAAACAAAAAAAAGAAGTTATCTATCTATCTATATAAATCTAGTGGATCTAAGTATTTAAATTGGGTACGGGTGTTTGACACATATCTTGGGCCCTTACCTTGGTCATATCCAATGGGGGAAATAGAAGAGTTTACGTAACACAATCCACAGCTAAAGATGCTGCATCCATAGCTCCCTTTGGCCTGTGGAAATACTAGCCTTGTATGCATGTTAATAAATATTAGAAATATATGTATTTGTATGGTTGAAAGAATCGCACACTTACAGATATTCGAACCATTACATGGGTGTAACTTTGCAGTTTATTGTGATTATATCATGTGCTATCCTAACACTCATTCATTGATATGATGTCAAATTTTGTCTGAAATTTGTGTTGTATATCTGAGTGTAATATATTGGTGATTAGGGTTGCAAACGAAACGAGCCGAGCCGAGCCGAGCTTTGCTGAGCTCAAGCTCGGCTCGTTTACTTATCAAGCTCGTTTATTAAGCTCGAGCTTAGCTCGATAAAGAACTGGGCTCGAGCTCGGCTCTTTTCGTTAATTTTAATAAAACTTGAGTTCAGCTCGGCTCGATAAATTTTTTTTAATATTATTTATATTATTTAATATATAAATAATGTATTTATATTATTATTTATATATATTTATATATTATTTAATATATAAATAATATATTTATTATATAATTTAAATAAAGATAAACAAACTGAGCTTATACGAGCTTGAGTTCGTCTCGTTTACTAAACGAGCCTAATATTCGAGCTCGAGTTCGAGCTCGGCTCGGTTTCTAAACGAGCCGAGCCGAGCCGAGCCAGTCAAGCTTATGAGAGCTTGAGCTCGTCTCGTTTGCTAAACAAGCTTAATATTCGAACTCGAGCTTGAGCCTTTAACAAGTCGAGCCGAGGTTGTTTATGAACAGTTCGGTTCATTTGCAGCCCTATTAGTGATGTGTTATGAGTTTAAATACAGATATACTAATTTGATATCACATTCTTGAAAATATCCAATATTGATCAATATGTTGCAAATTTTTTTTTATATTTATTTTTGCTGGTTTTGAGACATAAGTAGGTTGCATATAGACAAAAAAAGTTGTTTATTTATTGTTTTTACCTTTTCTATAATTACCTCTAGATGGCTGGACAAAATATTTATGTTTGATATGTCGCTATATTTGAATGTCTTTTGCAACATGTCTTGAAACAAAAGGCAAGTCCTTTAGAAATGTAGTTATATAATGCGCTTAAATTCTATCCCAGATATCTGGCACTGACCTCAGTAGAGGAAGCCAATGGTTGGTATGGTGGTTCATTGCTTGGTGATCAAGATGAGAACAGTGAGATATATAAGCATTACGCTGAACTCTGTCAGGTATTTAAATAAATATTTTTTGGCTGATCCTCATTATTATTATTGTTGTTATTAGTTTTACTACCATGGTGCGCGACATTTGTAGCTTTGAATTATCTAATGCCAGAAGAATTAGAGATTTTGTTCTTGGCTTGTCAAAAATTTGATAAAGCACACTTTTATACATGTTACTGTTCAAAAAATTTTAAACCCCATGGAATGGCCCCCTACCCATGGAAATTTTGAAAAGCTCTCTTTGTATAAGGGTTGCCCTCCAAAATTTAATGTGCTATGTAACAGCCCTTCAAAAATTGAATTCAGTCTCATGTCAGAAACTAAGAAGCATGGGCATTTCTACAGAGGAAGCGTGTGACATGTCCGACACTTCTTCAACATGTCTTAATTAAAAAATCAAATTCATTATATATCCAACACTTTATTGACACTTCTTGAATTTTTTGAACACGAACTATGTGACAAATTCCTTCATAACAATAATGTTGTGTATTCTATGGAAACCAAACATAAAAAAATATTTCTACGAAAACCATTTTCTGGAAAACCGTTTCCCTGCTTTCCTGAAGATGTATGTTGCAAGTCATTTTTCTCTTACAATAGTGTCAACTTTTTCCTCCTGTAAATTGATGGAACATGCAGGGCCCTGCAATTGAACCCTTTGAGCATGATGCTGAGAAAGAGAAGTACTATGCCAATCTTCTTCATATGGGCACCATTGATGGCAGCATGGATGATGGCACTGCTGTAGCAGCAGAGATGGAAGCAGCACTCAAGGAATATGACCTAATTGGTTCTGATCTCGGGATTGTTCCCAAGACTTGTAAAATTTTGCCTGAGGATCCAAGCCAGTTAACCCGATGGATTATTGGAGAAGAGATGGTGCAAAAGGTTTGAGATGAACTGCCCTGTCCTGTGTGCCCTCGCCAAAGAGATTTTTATTTATTATTATTTTTATATATAAAAAATTGTCTTTGGTCTGTACACTGACTTAATGAAGCGTGTTAACCCCGAAGATTTAAGTCTTTTGATTCGGGAGGAAAAGATGCTTGTATATGAATATACAGTACTCAACATCTATAATTATTTGTATAGGAACATTGATATTAATGTTGTGATGTTGTAAATACTGTTGTAAATTGGGGTGAAACATAATAAGTCGATCCAGTGGTTATCAAATTTTACAGAATTAGTAAATGTTAAAAGACAGAATTTTGATGTTGGATTTATATTGTAGTCCTGTCCTTTTTGCATGAAAAAACAAGAAACAACAAACAAGAAACACAGCAGAGCAATGAGTTGTAAGGGTGTCTTTGGGAACCTTTGGATAGACTTTTAGAAAGGTGGATTCTTTTATCAGATCAACATCTAGTGGACTATATTTTGCCCCTCACAGTTTATTTATGTATGTTCACGTGTGTGTGTGTATATTATTATATTTAAGGTTCAAGACCCTAATGAATGTCGCATGTTTCTACCTACCTAAACAGGTGGATTGATTGTTAATAAAGACTGCAAAAAATGATTCATTTTTGTGAGGCACTTCTAGGAAGCTTCAATTTTTGGTTACTTCTTTCAACAGAGCCTGCTTGTTGATTCATTGAACTAGTAACTTACAAGAATATCTGTAATGTACTTGCTTTCAAGTTGTCACAGCTATTCTCACTTTGAATCTAATCTTTTGTTCTAAAAACTGTGTTGAAGCAAACTATACAACCCTTCTAGGCGTACAGAATCTGATTTCCACAGATCGCGTCATATGGGGTGAGATCCGAGAAAATTTTGTGTCTGATTCTGTGACTAGATTATGTGCTTTTCAAAATTCACTTTGATATCATAATTCATTTAACAAAATGTGCAATTAATAAGTAATTAATAATCCAATTAAAGAGTGGAGGATCTATTACATGGGAAATGATTGAACAAACAGGTAGGATATCCTCTTGTGAGGAAAAGTGAGATTCTTCTTTCTTCTTCTGGCTTTGTGGGTGGGCTTTAGCATATACTCTGCTGCTTTTCCTTATTGTCTATAGCCCAAGAACCTTGTGGGTTTTTATTATGGAATCTTCTTTTTGATTTACACAAAATATATAATACATAATATCTAAATAATTTCCATGTCATAGAAGAAGCATATCTGACTTGGCTGGCAATCTCTTGAAGAAATTGACAGGCACTGATGGCAGCTTGCTTCTGAACCGGGGATGTCGAAGCATGTAAAGCCCGATGAGCACCGCTATGATTTGGAATGGAGTAACGTACAGGACAACAGCCAAAACCATTGCGATGATAATGAAGATAGCCGTGGCCCTTGGATCCCTCCACCCGAGTATGGAAATTGCTCTCTCCCCATGCGTCGCCAAATCTCCAATCACCGTTTGAATTCTCCCCGCCACACTCCTCATTCGATCATATCTCATCCTCACAATGTCCGGTGGCTTTGAAGTTGGGAATGTATCGAATTCCTCATCGAGCTCGTCTGGGTGCGCACGGCCAATTTCTGCATGCGATAGTCGTGCATCCATGTGGGGCGGGTGCCTTGGCCTAAACCGGTAGTTCCACAACCCGATCACGAACAAGTAGAGGAAAATTGTGGGAAGGATCAATTCCGGGTAGCAGACTAGGATCAAGAAAAGGACATGGACAAGACATGTGGTCACCGGGTTTTTCCAAGTGCATACATCGTTGAAATACAAACAAACGGCTGAAACCCCAGAAAGGGTCGAAATTATGCGGTTGAAATTGGCTTTGCTCCGCCTCAAGCTCCACATGTGGTAATCCACATCGAGCATGTACTCAACAATCTCTCGCCTGAGTGGTGGCTCGGCTCTCGCTAGCGGATGCCGAGCCGCCACTATCTGCATCGCCTGGTGGCGAAGCCAATCGATGTGCCTAACATTTATAGGATTGATATAATGCATTTTGGGAAGCAATGGCTTCCCATATTGTGCCACCATGTTGACCCAAGCGGTGCAAGTGAAGCGGAGCGCCAAGTGAAGCTCCCCGTGTTTTTTCAACCCGGACGGTTGAAGAACAAGCAAGGGGTAATAATGGGTATAAATCTTATCAGTCTCTAATGTTGATAGGCGAACTCTCACTTTCCCAATCCTCTGATCTTTTGCATCATCTTTACTCCCATTGATGTGCCAATTGTCGAAAACACCAATAGTTATGACAGTACACGAATCGTAGACTTCCCAAGTATACTGCTCGTTCCAACAAGGCGCGAGCGTGTTGAGCAGCGTTCTCGTTCGAACCCATTTGTTCCCATATTTCGCCACGCAGTACGCATCAGTAGTCCCCCCATCGCCTATCATTTTCATCGGTAGCAAATTCCTGGCACTCAATATCCCAACTTCAAGAATCCCAATACTCGGTTTCCTCAAATGCTTCGAAGATGGTTGTAGATCGCTGCTGAAATGCGTGGACTCGTCGAGCACATGGTAACCGACATCAAGCCAAAGGCGAAGGTGGATTTTGCTCGAGAATTTAGCTTCTTTCTTCTTCCCATCTTCTTCATCCGCAAACGCAGGCTTACTGAGGTTGAACCACTGGGCATCGGGCAGTTTCGACAACTCCCCTCTCTGCGGTATGCCTCGAACCGGTATCAACAACCTTCCAAGAACATGTTCCTTGTCCATAACATTAATGATCATGAATTCATCAAAAGGCTCTGATGCTACAAATATAAGCTCATCATTCCATTCCGGGTTAACATGTCGCATTTGCGAAGTACGAGTTGTTCGAGTCTGATTCCCCAGTGTTACCCTCGCGGATGCTTCGATTGGTCGGCCTTTTTCGATTGGGATCAAGTCCTGAGCAGCGATGACATGAAGGCGAAGATAGTACAATTTCGGAGAAAAATAGACCTTCGACCGGGTATTCGAGAGGCTCTGTTGGCTAATTCCATGAGCATCGGAGTGCCAAGCCTCGGGAAAGGCCTCGTCGGCCTGAGTTCCGAGCCAGACTGCCAGCATAATCTCACCGTAAAATTTTTCACCCTTTTTGTTCTCCAATTTGTACCATTGAGGAGCTAATGGACTATCGGGCGGCACGCGAAGAGGAACGTCGGCGACATCGAATGAAACACGACCCACAAAATCATCTTTTGCAAAATCCTTGTCTTTGACTACGACTTCGATCACATTCCACTGTAAATTCGTTTTGGAGAAGGCGAAAACCTGGTTCCAGACCGGGTTTTGGTTCTTCTCCAAGTGTTTAGTAACGCCTTTGTAGTTTCCGAGCTTGACTTCCACATACGGGTCTAAACTACCTGTAATGTCCATCGTTGGAAGATCTCTCGCTTTCACGACATTCACGTAGAGGAACTGCATCTGCTCAACGAGATCGTAGGTGGTAGACGTCTTGTCGCCGCCTCGGTATCCCATTCTGGCCGCCAGCGGCGGCCGCGTCTCCACCAACCCGAATTCCGGCGGAGGCCTCATCCCCGGAAACTGCTGCATATGCATCACCGTCGCCGCCGGACCCGCCTTAGCGAAATCCGCTCTCGCTTCGAAATTGGCCGGTTTTTGAGGTGGCGGCACCGGCACCGGAGCTGGCCCGCCACCGCCAGTTCCGACCGAGAAAAAAGTTCTCACTTCCTCTTTATTCTTCTTCTTTTTCTTCATCTCTCCCTTGTAGTCCTCACCAAAACCATCACCAAACCCAAAATTGTTGTTGTAATTGTTGTTATTGATGTCTTGCACTGGTGGTGGTTGCGGCGGCGGAGCTTGGGTTTGCCGGTGGAGCTTGGGTTGCGGTTGGCCGGAGGTCTGGGTCTCCGGCGGACCAAACTGACTATAAATTGTGTATACTTTGAGCGCTATATCCCCTTTAATATTTGAAAAAAGACCGCGTTTGTCGAGCGGGTAGCGCTGCGGCTGCTGCGCGGCCCCGAGCTCCGGCGGGGGCACGGAGGCGCCGGAGAGCCTGACGCGGCCGAGAAAGTTGTGGTGGCCACCGCCTTTCCGGTCGTTGTAAACAACTACTTCGATGGTCTTGTTGGGAAGGTCTCGTGGGTCGTCGATGGGGAAAACGAGCTTCTCGTTCCACTGGGGGTTGAGATCTTTGGGTTTTGTTTGGGTTCTTTGTCTCTGTTCGTCGAAATCAATTTCCACGAATGGGCTCGCTGAGCCTTGGCCGTCTTTAGGCATGAGATCACAGGCGTCGAGGACTTCCACCACTAGTTTGGCCATGACGGTGGCGCGTGGCGGGAGAATTGGTTGAGGGAGGTGCAGGAAAATATCAGGTTATGTCTGGAGATGAGAGAGAGAGAAGTAAGAGATATGTGTTTGTTTGTGTGCCGTAAGAAGACAGAAACTATAATGGTAGAGAGAGAGTGAGTGATGTAGTTAGGTGTAGAGTGAGAGAATCTTAGCGGAGAGTGAGTGATGTCGTTAGGTGTAGAGTGAGAGAATCTTAGCGGGTAAAGAGAATGGATTATTTGTTTCAAAATAATTATTCAAAATAATAATAAAGACAAATAATAAAACAATTAAAAAAATGGATTATTTGTTTCAAAATAATTATTCAAAATAATAATAAAGACAAATAATAAAACAATTAAAAAAATTATCGATATGTAATATTTTGACAATTGTCTTTAATTTTTGTTTTAGAAATTTTTTTTTTCATTTTTTCTTTAAAACATTACCATGAGACAAGGTTGTATTTAAGGGTTCGCAGCGGATATATCGATCCGTCAAAATCGATCGAACCAAATTGATCTGCCGCATTTTGGACGGATAGGTGATGACGAGCAGACGGATGGCGGACGCATTTTGGACGATTTTCTCCAATCCACCAATCTGGCGGACGAATGGCGGATTTGAGACTCCTTTGGTCGCAATTGAACCGTCAAACCGCGAACACCCCTAGTAATTTATAAGACTTTGTGTTTTCAGTTTATTTGAATATTCTGTTTGTGTTTTCAATTAAAAACAGTTTAAATATTCTGTAGAAAAAAACTTTCAATTTGAATATCTTTTTTAAATTGAAAAAAATAAGCGTATTATTTATCTATATTTTTGGTTTTTAAATCTATCTCTAAAAATAATAAATAGAAACTACTGCTCTGTTCATGGTTTTGGTGGTTTGAATTGTTTTTATATTTTATGAACCACAGATTGTAATACTTTATGTGGATGAGGCATGCAGTGATTGTAATATTTTTTTAAGTCATTAATTATAATACTTTTTTTTTGAGGAGTGCACAAGTTGAATTATGTTGAAAATTTATAAAATTTTAAACCGCCAAACCGATTCGCATCCATCCGTTAAACTGCCAATCCGCTCAATCCACATCCGCCGGATTGGCGGACGGATGCAGATTGATTTTCTCCAGTCTGTTAATCTGGCGGACGGATGACAGATTAGAGGTTCCTTGGCCGCAATTGACCCGCGCCCACCCCTAGTTGTATTTCTAAAAATATTAAGTGTGAAATAGTCTTTTCGCAAATTTATTAAAAGATTTTTTTTAAAGAAATTATTTCAAATAGACCTATTTATTTATTTATTTTAACGAAAACGGTGCTTATTTATTTCTTTCCAAATAGGACCCATATGAATAGTAAATTTTATTATTTAAAAAAATAAAATGCTCATCAATAGGATTATGTTCAAAAAGTTGTTTTCAAAATATTTGATACTTTAATTTTTATTTTATATAGAATTTTGTAATTGTCTCTTGAGATGGTGATAAAAGGCTTTTTCTCGTTAAAATAGTCACAAAAAATAAAATAAAATTTTTAGTCTAATAAGATAAAATATCACATTCAACTCATAATCATTATATTATTTCTCTCACAAAAAAGTCAAAAAAAATATAAAAAATTAAAAATCATTCCCAAACCAGACTCTTTAATTCCAGGTTAAAATAGTCAAAAAAGTCAAAAAATTAAAAAACTAACCCACTTTCCAAACAAGCTCAAAGTGAGATTAGTTGATATTGTGATTGTGACTCTTTCATTATAATTTTACTAACTTCCTAACATCTATTTTGTCATATGATGAAAAAAATAAAAATAAAAAATTTAACTATAGTACCATTATAAATCTTAATTATTTTATCTAGAGCTCACATTATATCAATTTAATTTTTAATAAATTTTAATTTAATCTAAATTAGTAGGAATTACTCTTTTAATTATAATTTATAGGGTGATGAGAAAGCGATGATGATCACACACTTCATTAAACAAAAAGAAAAAAGAGAAAAAAGAAAAGATGATCACACACTTCATTGATCTTAGAAAAAAAAAAGTTTTCCAAAAAGCAACTTTGCTCTTGGAAGGATCTCTCTTTTTCAAATATTTACGCAGATTCATTTATAAAATACTATGGTATATGTTGTAAATTGACGAGACTCTTTTCAGTCTTTGAGGCCTCATTAATCGACAACTAGATAATTATCTATTGGCTTTAATATATGTGCGGGTATATATTTTTTATTACAAATATATCACTAATAAATTTTATAAAATATTATTTATTTATTAATAATATGTATTTAATTTTATAATTAATTTTAATAAAATTTTATTTATTATAATTTTTTTACTTTTAATTATGTGATAATTGTTATGTTTATAACATAATTGTTAATTAAATTTTTTAACACTAATGTTATGTAACTTAAAAAGGAGCAATGATTGAGATCCCATCCCTACAAAATTCTCACAAAACTTCCATAAATCTGAACCATTCATGATATGAATTTTATACATATATGAATAGACCCTACACATACATGGAGGACTATAATCATTTTAGAAGTGTAAGGATCATTCCCAAAGAGAATCCCAAACATTTTTTTTAAAAAAAATTACACAAAAAGTGTTTATAATCAATGAATTATATTTATTCTGTGTGCCTTATATTATATTAATTTTACATTTATATAATACAATTTAAAATGAGTAATTTTCAGACTACAATTATAGGTACAGGTGGCAGTGCTCTATTGAGGGCCTTGTTACTGGTGGTGTTGCTCGATTGAAGATCTTGAATATTGAATGATAAATTGAAGGGTGATGGAAAAGCTTGTGAATGATAGGGATGATATGTTTCTAGAGTTTTGTTACTTTTTACATTTTATCATTTTTAATAACACCTCTTATAAAGTGGTAAGAAAATAAAATTTTATGTGATTGTGTAACAAATCAAAATTAATATCTATCATTCTACATTATTGGACTGAAGTTGTAGAGATTTTATTGAAGATCTCAAATATATATATATTTTTTCTAATCCGCTTTGTTTAGATCTCATGCCTTTGGAGTTTTTCTCATGTTAGAAGGTGGTGTTTGGCAAGTGGGTTGGGGCTAAAATAGTCACAAAAGACAAAACAGGCTATTTTAGCCACAACAAACAAAACATCACATCCAACCCATAATCATTACACTCTTCTCTCACAAAAAAAAGCCAAAAAGCCAAAAAGCCGGCCTTCGCGGTCCTTGTCGACAGCGTCTCTGGTATATGTGACTCCGGTCGACATCTTTGAGTCTTCGTCTGCCTTCTTCATTTGTCTTGGTTGGTTCCTCTGTCTGGGTTGTGTAGGTCAACACCCGTTCCTTTTCTTTTAATTCTTTTTTAAAACACAACCAGAAGAAAAAAAAAAAAAAAAAAATATGGCTCAATAACACTAATGTTAAAGGGGTTGAGTTAGTGTTAGATTTGTGTAACATAAAATCAACATAGATAACCCGTTTAGTAAAGAATTTATCACACAATTTAATATTATTTTTATTAAAAGATGTGTGTGATTTTTAAATATCTTATGTAACTCCATTCAATTTATTAAAATATATATAAAGTATCATTTTAAGACTACATAGATTTTGTTTTTATTTTTAATTGAAGATAACATCTGTTTTTTTTTGTCTACAATTGGAGTTTAACTAGTAAAATAAATGTAATAATAAAATATGATATTTGATAAATTAAAAAAGGGTTTTTTTATTTATTAATAAGTCTCATTTAGAGGTGTTCTAATCCAATAAGCCTCCGTTTGGGAAGTGGGTTGGCTTTTTGGCTTTTTGGTTTTTTTGGCTATTTTAGCCTGGGCTAAAAAGTTTGGTTTGGGAAGGGCTTTTTGGCTTTTTGGCTTTTTTGATTTTTTTTGTGAGAGAAGAGTGTAATGATTATGGGTTGGATGTGATGTTTTGTTTGTTGTGGCTAAAATAGCCTGTTTTGTCCTTTGTGGCTATTTTAGCCCCAACCCAACTTGCCAAACACCACCTAGGTATCTACCAAGAAAAATTATAACATAATTAGTCTCATATATTTGTATTTATATTTTTTCTTGATTTATATTGTTTGTTGGATTATTATACCCTTATACCTATTATTGATATGTATTACATAGAAAAAGAATATATATATTTCCATTTTGTTATTACCTCTATTTTGTTATTTACCGTTATTCATGTTTTTCTTTTTGATTAGTTTCATTTACATTTGTGATATTGTTTTATTGTGTTAGGGTTTCGAAACTCTCTATTTGATAGGGTTTAGAAACTCTAGTTTACATATGATGGTGAAATAATATTATGTTTTTCTATCGTTGCGGTGAAGTTTTGTGTTCGTTTATTGTCATTTTGTGTTCAAAATTTTGTATTCGTCCATTGTTACTCTGTATTTAAAACTCTATGTTTCTCTATTGTTGTAAGTCGAAACTCTATTTATATTCAGTCAATTTGTTACAAACATATTCTTTAAATGTGAATTTGGCTTTATTTAGGTTGGTCACTACAAGAAATTGCACTTTTGGAGACTACTTTTAGCAACGACGTCAATTTTTCATAGCTAAAAGTATATTTTTGGCAACACAATGATGAATTTCGTTGGTAAAAGTAGTCCTTTAGTGACGCAATTTACTACCGTCGCTAAAAAGTCATAACATTCACTAAGCGCCAAAATTATTGGTTGGCGCCAAAATTTCAAAACATTTAGCTACGAAACTTATTTTTTAGCAACACAATGAGCGTTGCTATTAGTGTGCTTACTTTTGGCGACGACAAGTTAGCGTGGGCAAAGAGTTAAACATTTAGCGACAATAACGCTATTCGTTGGTAAAAGTTTTGTTAGTAAAATGAAGTGAATTAGTAGTTTGTGTTTTTATTATAACTTTTGAAAGAGTTTTAAATATTCTAATTAAAATTAAAGTGATCATTGAATTAGATCACAAAATGAACCCATCAAACCCAATCATATTCTTAAGTTGAGATGGCTAATTCGAGATAATTTAAACTTTTTCAAAGAATGTAGTTAGATTATCAATTTCAATATATTTGGTTTTATTTTCAGAAACTAGTTTCAAAATTTCTTTTTCTAAAAAACTAAAAAAAAAATTCAGTGAAAAAATAAAAAATAAAAAATTACTTA